CTTTGCTCTAACCCACTGCCCCACCGTCTGCATTACTCCTGGCTCCTTATTGCCTGTCATGGCTCCCCTGGAATTTCTGTTTCATGGACCCTTCTCTCTTAACCCATTCTACACTTCATTCCAAATTTTTACCTTAGTTATTCTAACTTTATATTCCATTTCTCTTTGTATTTCCATTACTATTTCCTTGATCCTATGGCCTGGTAGGATAGGGAGAGTACCTCATTTTACCACATTCTCTGCCTGTCTTAGTGTCTTTTGACCACAGGGTTGTGACTTCAGTGTTATGTGATGGGAGGAATTTTAGAAGCAGTAAAGTGTGGAAGCACGTTTGTTGTTGTGTAGTTGTGTCTGACTCTTCACAACCCCATTTGGGGTTTTCTTGGCAATGACACTGGAATGGTTTGCCATTTCTTTCTCCAGCTCACTTTGTAGACGAGGAACTGAGGCAAATAGCATTAAGTGACTTGCCCAGGATCACACAACTAGAAAGTGTATGAAGCCAGATTTGAACTCAGGTCTTCCTGACTCTAGGCTCAGCACTTTACCCACTGTGCCATCTTGTTCCCAGTCTTTTTGAGTATGAGGACTCCTTTTTAATATTAAAAATGTGGTTGCAGATATCATAGTAATGGTATAATTTTGATATATATTGGTTGAGAAAATACTCAATAGCAATCAATTAGGTAGGCAAGCAAGCAATAAATATTTACTAAGGCCTAATACCAGGCAATTCCACAAGGTGACTAGGTGGTGCAGGGAATCAAGCATTAGACTTAGAATCCTGAAGAACCTGTGTTCAAAGCCTGATTCCAGGCAAGACATTTGCACTCTCAACCTCATTTTCCTCATCTGTAAAAAGAGGATAATAATAACACTTATCTCCCACGTTTGTTGTGATGATCAAATGAGATAATAGATTTGAAGAGGTATGTAAAACTTAAAATTTTACATAATACTAGTTACTGTATTAGATGAGTTTAATTTATTTTATTAATCACAACAGCATCTACAAAAATGTGAAAATCGTAATACATATGTGTGACATTATTACTTTAATCTAAGGAAGGTTGGTTTGCTTATTTATTATATTGACTCATGCTGCTTATTGTTTTAAAGCTGTGTAAAAATCAACAGGACAGAGGACCAGAGTTCAAATCCGGTCTCAGATACTTAACACTTACTAGCTGTGTGACCCTGGGCAAGTCACTTAACCCCTATTGCCTCACCAAAAACAAAACAAAACAAAACAAAAAAAATCAACAGGACATTTACTTTGAATATGTATTCACAGAACCCTTGTAATATTTCTTTTTTTTTCTTTTTTTTTTTTGGTGAGTCAATTGGGGTTAAGTGACTTGCCCAGGGTCACACAGCTAATTAAGTGTCAAGTGTCTGAGGCCAGATTTGAACTCAGATCCTCCTGACTCCAAGGCTGGAGCTCTATGCACTGTGCCACCTAGCTGCCCCCCTTGTAATATTTCTGAAACCTACCAAGAGTCATAGGGTCATAGATTTAGAACTTGAACAAAATGAGTTCCCTCATTTTATAAGGCAACTGAGGAAACTGACACTTAGAGAGATTAAATAACCTAAGGTCATTTAATTTCAAGGTCATATAGCTAGTAAGTGACAAATTACAGTATTCAAATCCAGAAACTCTGAATCAAAATCCTGCACTGTTTCCACTATACTATATTCCTAGGTTTCAGACCTAGGCCATATATTTGCAGGGGTTCTGAGAAGAGCATGGAATTTAAATCTTTGCATCAAGTGAGAATAACATTTCACATTACGAAGTATTCTGAGTCACTCAAAACTTTTACTTTCTTAGGCTAATTAAAAATCATACTTTAAATCAGATGATCTAAAATGATATGCCATTGTTATTAAAATATTAGATTTACTCTCTATCCTTCAATTAAATTAAAATAAAAACCTTAAAATTGAAGTATAGATTCATGAAAACACATTCTAATTCACATTTTAATACAATATGCATGTAGAAGAATAGTTTTAAAACACTCCAGGATATGTATTAATGGTCCATTAATGTACTTCTCAGGAGATGGAAGTCATTTGGACTCCAGCATTTCATAGCTTATGGTGCACCTGAGGCTTAGATTAATGTTCCATTATTATATGCCATTTTCTGTCAAGGCAATTCAGCAATTCATTTAATCAGACTTGTTGCTCATGAAGGACAAAGTTGGATTACTACAAAATCACTCCAAGCTGCTTGGGCAGATGATGATTGGAAATATTTAGTATTACTAAGTCACGCTAAGGACTCTGGGAAAGTGATAGCCATTGTGAGTTTTGGGGATCAGGAAGAAGGAATTGCAGAAGAAAAAATTGCTATTGGTCTAGGACACTTTCTTTGCCCTTACACAGACAAAATCTCCTAGAAAGGAGATATGTGCTGGCAAGGTTTGTTTGGCTTCACCATACAAATTGGAAAGTTTCCTAGGTTACCTTTGCAGTTACTTGGGGAAGTGCCTGGCACACAGGGATAGAACCGTGATTTCATTAGTGAACTTCTGGGGTAAGAAACTTTGAACAATGAAGTTCCAAACCTTCTCTGCACCTGAGAGTCTTAGAGGAGTGGCCTGGAGCACTGAGGACTTACATGTCTCGCCCAGGTTCATATGGAAGTAGGTGACAGAAGTGGATCTTGTCCCAGGTCCTCTTGGTTTTGGGGCCAACTCTATATTCACTCTGCTATGCTACTTCTCATACATAGAGAATGATAACTATTAAGCACCTACCATGTGTCACTGGCTCATAGTATGAACCTAACCAGTGCTTGTTGATTTATTGGTAAAGTGCTGTAAGGATGAACACATAAATCCTCAGTTCCACCAAAATATTGTCCAAATTAGACAAAGACCTAGTTTGAGTTGAGAAAAGCATAAAAAGCACAGGAGTCCTTATCCCATGATGAAATTTTCCCTCTCTTAGGATTGAGCTAAAAAATTAACCACATGAATGGTGTTTTATATTTATTTATTTTTTCTGCTTGCTTTGAAACATGCTTTCAAAATTACATTTGAAAACTTCAGAAAGCTCTAGGTCTCATTATTCTAGCTATACTGAAAACTTTCAACATCTGTTGCTTTTCACCCTATGTTATTAAAAAATTCTAAACAATCTGAGCTCACTCACTGAACAATTTGAATAATCTTATGCAGGTTCAAATGAGTAGAAGTTAAGGCTCACTTGATCACATTGTTGATCACACCCAAAGAATTGAGACAGTTTCGGAATTTCATAGAAATAGGCATGAAAATAATTGGCTTTTGTGACTCACCTTTTTCAAAGGAATACTTGTGCACTATGCAGTATTGTTACATCCTGGTCATGTTGCTAGCTGGCTTCTTTCCTTTTTTTTTTTTTTTGGCATGGACTGGTCAAGTGACAAAATTAGAAAGTTATAAATAGTCCTGGATCCTCTCCCCACCCAGTGGAACTTTTTTGTTCCTCAAGTTGGTTATATCTGTTGGAAAATTTTTCGACCCCAAGTAATACGAAGGTATGTGCTTGATAATGTGATAAGTAGATATAAACATGAATAACATCTATGTCAGTAACTATGATTTGCAAGAGTTTACATATTCTAAAATACTTCTTGACTTCTTTAGTGAAATCAATTCCTATGCTTTATAGGAAGGCACTTCAGTGCCTTTGAAAGCTAATGTTATTAAATTTTAAGTTCCCTGAACCATAAACTGTTAAAAGATTTATCACTCTGTTGGTCCTAATTTTTAGTTTACATAATTCATAAATACTTTTATACACATTACTAATAAAAATTTTGATTTGCTAAAATTAACACACATAAATCTGCTTCACCTAATTTTGAAAAATCTTTTTTTTCCTCTAAGCTAAACAAAGTTGATATATAGGGCAATTGTTACTTTGAATGTTGCTGATTAATGAAGAAGTTGATTTTCAAGATTGAGGCAGTTTCTGGGATATAATTTGAAATTTGTTAAATGCAGTGCTATGTGGAAGACTGTAATTACATGGATTACTCAATGATTTCTAAAATGATCATATCTTGTTTAAAAGAAAAAAATCAGATTTTCAAAAGAAACAATTTTTTAAAAAAAATATAGATATTAATGTAGTTTGTTCCAAATTGTAATTAGTTGAGTTCTCCTCATGGCCAAGGAGGGTAGAAGTATTATACTGCAGCATGCTGATGGAAAAACAAACAAACCACATTCCTTTCCTCTTCCATTTTAGATTCTGACCTAAGATTTTCCCATTTTCAGGCAGAATGCCACATACAATCCCAGAGCTTCAGCAGGCAGTGTAGTTTTCACACCTTACTTCCAAGAGGACATGGGGAAATGGACATTGGAAGGAATCTGGGGGGATGCAGTAGTAATCAATGTGCAAATAGAAGAATGGTTTACTGTGGTCTACAGGGCTGGCTTAATGTGGAGGTGGGGTAGGTACCTAGCCACATATAGGATATGATTTCTAGAGTTTAAAGCCCCATTATAAAAAAAAAAAGTAACCTATCTTCTTGCTAATTTGCTGATATTTCTTTATCAGCAATTAAACAAACAAAATTCCACGATCAGCGACATAGTTTAAAAAATAAATATCCTCTGTAAGAGGTAATAAATTTCACAGTAAGATATAAGTGACTAATATTTTCTTGGAGCAGATTTTGATAGGATGGAGAGAACATGACACTGGGAAGCTGGGATGGGTAAGAAGGCCAAGGATTTGGGGAAATGGAGTCTGGGAACCTGAAGTATATACTTTTCTTCTTTTACAAGGTTGGCATCTTGTAAGTGACATTCAAATGCACCTTTCTAATACCTCTTCCAAAATGCTTAATTTTTTTCTAAAGAGTTATTCATCAACAGTAAGCTAGCCAGTTGTGCCATCTAAAATTCTTCCCCACCCCAAACCAAGACCAAGTTTTCTGCATCCTTACTTTTCATCATTAGTAAAATCTTTTTTTTTTTTTGTAATTTTTCAGAATGTCAACTATGGGAGAATTTGACTCAGACTTTTACCAGTCTAATTATATTATTGATAATCAACAACAAGGTTATGATGGTGCTGATGCTTATGGAAATCCATATGGACTCATAGAGTAAGTATACTATATATGCATCAATGGAATTCCCTTTCAGTAAAGAATCCACATTTTGATATTATAAAGGTATCTAACTTTGATCAAAACATAAGGACCGATCTCAGACTGTAGAGCTGGCAGAGACTTTATTGATCATATAATCTGGAGGTTCTTAAGCTGAGCTCCATTAACTTTTTAAAAATTGATAATTACACATTAATATAATTGGTTTCCTTTGTAACCCTCTATATCTTATTGTATGCATTTGAAATATTATTCTGAGGGGGCAGCTAGGTGATGCAGTGGATAGAGCACCGGCCCTGAAGTCAGGAGGACCTGAGTTCAAATCTGGCCTCAGACCAAACACTTGACACTTGCTAGCTGTGTGACCCTGGGCGAGTCACTTAACTCCAATTGCCTCAAAAAGGAAAAAAAAATATTATTCTGAGAAATTATCGGATTTCCAAAGGTGTCTATGAAATAGAAAAGGTTAAGGATCTCATTTTAAAGATAATGAAACAGAAGCCCAGAGTGACTTGCTCAAGTTCGTATACAGAAGTAGCAGAGTGAAGATGCAAACTCAGGTCCTTGGACTCCGGTTTTCTGTTATGCCATGCTCCTTCTAGGCCTGGTTTCTCTGAGTAAGTATTTCCATGGAGGAAGAGACAATATTTCCCCACTTTGCATAAGTACAGGGTCTCAAAGTAAATATACTCTTTGGTCTCAGGGCCCCTTTAAACTCTCAAAAATTATTGAGGACCACAAAGCACTTTTGTTTACATGGATTAGATCTATTAATATTTACTATATTAGAAGTTAAAATTGACATTTTAAAATATTTAATTTGATGTCACAATACACTAATTAGTTATTGGCATAGTATATTTTTTATGAAAAATAACTTTTCCAAACAAAAAATTAATGAGAAGTGTGATATTGTTTTATACAATTTCACAAATTTCTTTTATGTATGAATTATTAGAAGACAGCTGGATTCTCATTCTGCTTCTACATTCAATCTGTGTGATGCATTATTTTAGTTGAAGTATGAAGAAAATCTGGTCTTACAAAGATATGTCATTGGAAAAGGAAGGAGTATTTTGATAGGCAAATACTATCTTAGTATTACTTTGAAAGTAGTTTTGGCCTCATGGATCCTCTGAAAGTGGGGGACCTCCAGGGGTACAAAGATCATACTTAGAGAACTACTATGCTACTAGCGTTTCAGGGGAATATAGAGAAATTGGTTTCAATAACAGCTCTCTAGCAGCTCTTCTTAAACATCCCATGTGGCCTATAGGTACACCCCATTTAAATGTTAACAGCTGGCTTCCCTTCATATTATTTCATTTGAGAACTGAGCATTGGAGAATCAGGCACTGGGGCATTAGGCATCTTGGAAGAAGGAGGTTTTGTTTTGCTTCGTTTTGTTTTCCCTGTTCCTCAATATCCAGGAAGGCATTTATCCAAAACTGCCTCAGAAATATAGGATATGTAGGATACTATAACTTCAAACTGGCTTTAACTAAAGGAAAATTAGATGCATAATAATAATAATAACAAACTGACATTTATGTAATATTTAAAGTTTGCAGATCATTTTACAAACATTTCTCATTTGAGCCTTACAGCACCTCTGCTTTTTGGTCATCTTAATAATTGCAAAAAAAAAAAAAGACAAATATGAGGTTAATAAGAAGTAGCATTCTAATATCTGTTCCAGAGGATAAAGAGATACAAAGAAATTGAAATGAACTTCTTACTTAAATCTACATAATCTTTCATCCTTTGTAAACTCTGTATAAAAATAGGAATGGGAAAAGTGGTGAAAAATATGGAAAACATGGTTCAGAACTAATAAATAAGAAAAGCCAGTGCTTTATAGACTATACTGAAGCCTGACCTTTATATATCATAGGATGCTATCATCAAGAAGAGAGTTCGGGACATGAAAATCACCAAATGATATCTCAAAAATGAAATTGTTTATATTTTTATTTATAAGAATTATTGCTTACTGGTGTGGGAGTCATTTCAGAATCAGTTGTTTTTGTAGAGCCAAATCACAAACTTGGAACACAGAACAACATCACTTGCAAAAAAACAGATGAGAAGATATGAGATGCTACTGAGGCAACTGTAGCCTGACCTATTTAAGCAAATTATTGAGGCCAATAAATGGGAAGTGCATAAAAATCCCCAATGAAGAGAGACTGACATAATTTCTGAAGGAATTTTAACATAAATTAGTCACCAAAATGAGGAGACAAAAAGAAACTAGAAACAACCTCAGCCAGCAAATGCTAAATCTTTTTGCCAATATCTGAAGAGAAATATGTCATTCAAGGTGAATATGGGTTTAGAATGAACACCCTCTTGTAAAATCTAATGAAAGAGGGTGTAGAAGATTATAAGTGGCATCAACTCATTAAAAAAGCAAGAAGCAGGGGAGGGGAAAGCTAGTTTATATAAATCTTGATCAGAAACTAACAAATGACATTATTTTGAGAGCATTTAAATATGAAACTGGACAGAGAATAAGGAATGGAAACAAAGAGGAAAACACCTGTAAAGATTTCTATAAGAAACTCTTTTTTTTAATCTAATATCATTGATATGATGCACAAGGGAGTAGACATGACACTAAAAGAAAATGTCTTTCAAGTACATAGAGAGGAAATCCGTGATGGAGATGTCACAATTTGAAGTCACTGAGGGGTGGGGGGTGTCAATTCTTAAGCTATTGAAAAGAAGGAAGATATCAAATGTACAGAGAAAAAACAGGCATTTTCATCTCTATAAAATACTTAAAATACGTTCAAACCAAAGATATCCTTGATGAAGGGATGAAAAGGGAACAGGTAAACTTTCATAAATGACAGCCTACATTAGAGAAGATCTTTACAATCACAATGGAAAGGTGCAGAAATTATATGATCCAACTGTGGTTTTTTTTGGTAAAAAATATTATTTAATATTCAAATATTATTTTTAATCTAATTAAGTAGCAGCTTCTGCAGTTGTCAAATTTCTCTTTTCTTTCTACAAACAGTTCAACTTTTTTTTCCCTTTTCTTTGGTTTTCTTGTGATGGGTGAATAATCCTTTTAAATTCCAACTGAAGTAGCTTGATAAATGATACTTTTCCTCTTCGTCACTTACAAATTTCTCTTTATCAATGAAGCTTTGGAGTATGATGCCAGTCTCTGTGGGTGAATTGAATTTGACGTTTCTCCCTGGAGGTGTCTGGTGAAGTATAGCAATTTTTAGTCTATCTTTTGACAGACTGCTTCTGGGAAATGTTCTTGAGTGGTTAACTGAAAAATGATCCCCAGAATATCTCTTTCTTTGAATTTTTCAGGTATTCTTATGACTCAGATCATCTATCTGACTCCTTTATTCTGGTTCTATAATCTTGCAAAAGCCTTTTGCTAACTGTTATCCTTTGATCATATTTTGTGGTATGTTCTGCCCCTTCTGAAAACTTGTCTTCCAGTCAGAGAATTTTATTTCCACTGATTCAGTTCCTTTCTCTTTCTTCAGATATTCCACTGCTTTCTCTATACTGATGTCTTTTTTTCTTTCACACCAATTTCTCTTGTTCCATTTTTTTTTTCTGGTGAAAGACCTCATTACAGATGCTAGATACTTCTTTACTGACACCAAAGCCTCAATAATTTTCTTTAAAAGGTTTATAATTCAATTTGATATGTCTTGTGCTAGATCTCTGTTTCTTGGACCATTAATCCATAATATTTATTTGTTGTTTTTGAAGGTTTTTTTCCCCTCCAGCTGTGTCTTTACTTCCTGGTCTTTTCCTTATCAGAATCGAGCCTATTTTGATGTTTTATGGTTGTTCCTCTGCCCTTTCCCCTCTCCATTTTTATTTGTTTTATTTGGGATCAAGTTATCGTTTTTCTTTTGTGACCTCTCAACTCTGCCACCTTGGCAAAATTCTGGATATATACTTAAACAGGAGAAACTTTGTAGAAGACCACAGTAATCGCTGTTTCTTTTTAACAGCAAGAAATACTCTGACCTAAAAAAAATCTTTTACATATATATAGATATATAGGTAGATATAGACATACTTAATAATGTATTGAGGAAATTTACATTATAGATCTAGGCTTGTTGTTATAGTAAAATATATAAATGAGTTACCCATCAATTTTTCTTTTCACTTTTAGGAGTTCACTGACAGTCATGTAGTAGGCCCCAGAAGTGAGGACTTAATTAGATCCAGACATTAAAGGATTTTTCCACTCTTCTTGTATCTTTTACCTACCAGAGATGTTTCCCTCTAGAACCTCCAGACTTCAGAGGAACTGAAATCCTCCAAAGGCTGGCGTAGGAACTTTACTTCCTCTCATTATTTCCTTGGATTTATCATTTGCCTTCCTTCTAAGTCTTTGTTCTGACCATTCCTAAAGAATTTTCATTTTTAATAAAAAAACAAAAGTCTGAATAAAAGAAATAGACTCACCAGAGAATTTTCTAATACTGATTTATACTCCTAGTTATGATAATGAACCCAGGAAACTAAAATACAAATAATATAATATAAAATATTATTATAAAATATAAAAAATATAAATTGTCTGTGTGAACCTGGGCAAGTCACTGAGCCTCTCAATGCTCTAGGCTATGCTCTAAGCCTGTAAGTAGCAGAGAAGGTGATAACCTGCCTGTCTGGGGGGAGTATTTTTAATCACATTGGAGTTCCTTATATCTATAAAGTAACAGATTTAGCTCCTATTTCTATTTTAATTGATAGGGGCAATGCTGCTATTTGTAAAGCCTGTCATCATCAGCAACTTGGCTTTTTTAAATTCACGGTCTTATGAAAACCTTTACTTAAAAAGAGCTAGCCCATTCTGCACTGAAGGTAAACTTTAAACATGACATTTGTATAGTTAGGTACCTATGAGAACCAAATAACATCCAAAAAAATTAGGTAAATCTGGCAAAGACAAAAATAAAAGCATATTTCTTTCTTTGTTTTATCACTGTAATGATATCACAGATGGTTTAATGGCAATATTTTTCATTCCAGACAGCATTCAACAGAACTGCCCCACCCTTCAGCTTTTGTTCTTCCAGAGATGATCACATCTTCAGGTTACACCGGACAATTTTTTCAGCCGACATATAATTCGGATTATTATTCTCAGCCGGCTTATGCAAACGGTTTTGATGAAGAGCCACCTTTGCTAGAAGATAAGTTAAGCAAATGTTATTAATATGCTTTGCATTTTAGAGAACAATGGAAATAATCAGCATTTAATAAGTGCCATCAGTATGCTGCTGTCCTGAGCTTTACATGTGATTCTCCTATGGAGAAGGGCCTACACATTTTATTGAAAGCAGCAGCAACTAGATGAATGTCTTCATGGGGAATGTGAATGGCACATATTCAGATGATGATTCTAAGGGATAGTTATTCATTTGAATCAAAAAAAAAAAAACAAGCTGTTGTTAATCACCTCTCTTTTTTCTACAGCTAGACTCCTATATCAATAATTGAATACATCAATCAATCAATCAGTTAGCATTTATTAAGCAACTACTGTATGTTAACTACTATGTGCTGTTATGGAACATGTACGCACAGAAAGGCAATATTTTGAAGTTGAAAAAAAAGTCTCCCAGCTAAGAAAGTATTTCAGAACAATCTATTTTGCCAACTAGGGTTACATAGACTCTGAGAATCTTAGGTAGAAGGGACTTTAGAAGTTACTAGTCCAGTTACCTAGCTGAAGCATGACTCTTCTCTATGATACCTCATGCCCAGCTTTGTGTGAGTGTGAATGTACGGGTTTTCATGCTGTACTGTAGGGAAGAGGTTTCCTGTTATTTTGCTGCCATGGAGATATCTTCCTTGCCCCCCTCCCCACCCCTTTTCAGAGATCTAATGGGGACTTTTATGTCAGCTATATGGCTGGTAGGGGAGAACAGTAAGATTTTTGGTCTTAAGGGAAGTTCATTCTTGGAAAATTTTGGAGCAAAATCAGGAGACCTTCTAAGTTCTCACAGTTTCCTTGGGCTTTTCACTAGTGGGGATGGCAGAACCTGGGCATATTGTCAGCACCAAAGAAATATGAAAAACATCAAATCTGTGGATGAGGGAGAGATGCTACTAATCTAACACAATTCAGTTCATGGAATTAGACTTTTCCCATGTCAGTGGTTTCTGATGTCAAGAGGAATAGAAAAAATAAAAACAACCCAACAATTTGCAAAAAGGGGGGGGGAGAGAGAGAGAGAGATACAGAAAACATTTTGCTTCATTGTGGTTATAACCTCTTTTCTCATCACTTAGCTCATCTTTTCTTTAATGAAGAAACTTCATAGGTTAATCCATCTTTGCTTGACCCCTAAGAAACAAGAAGGGTATCTGTACCTTTAAGACCTCTTCAATACCTACTTTTAAGTTATAGAGTGGGAGGTGAGGTAGATGAGTAACAGGGAGTAGGATTGGGACTGTGGGTTCTTGGCAGATGGCTTAGTGTGGGATAGCAGAAGAAGGAAACAGAGACTAAGATTCCAGGCATGGTTTCAAATAGCAACATGTTTTTATATCCACCTCGCTTCCCCCTCCCCTCCCCATACTCATCACCTATCTCCTTCCTCCCTTATCTGTAAGATTTCCATACTCAAAATTATGTCTAACATGTTACAACCCTTCTCCAACTAGATCTTGGAAACATCACTGACTCAGAGTTGGTAAGGATCTGTGAGGTTATCTAGTCCAACCCATACCTGAAAAGGTACCTATTCTTCAACATCCCCAACAAATGCTCATCTATGCTTTATTTGAAAACCTCAAGTAATGAGGAAACTACAGCATCCTCCACTTTTGGTTGGGTTAATCATTCGGAAGTATTTCTTTTATTTAGCTTAGCACAGTGCTTGGCACATAATAGGCTTCTGTTGTTATGTTCAAGGAATCTTGGAAGTGCTCTTAAATTGCTCTTTAAAAACATTTGTTTTCTTGAGGCACCTAGCTGGTACAGTGAATAAAGTGCTAGGCCTGAAGTCAGGAAGACCTAAATTCAAATTCAGCTTCAGGCACTTAATAGCTAGGTGACCTTGGGCAAGTCACTTAATCTTTGTCTGTTTCATTCTCCTAAATTTGTGAAATGAGAATAATATTAGTGCTTACCTCTTGGGGTTGAAGATAAAATGTGAATATTTGTAAAGAGCTTAGCACAGTGCTTAGCACATAGTGGCTGTCATTACTGTTATTATCATGGCCTCCCATATCGCATATAATGAGCTTGTAGATCACAATCCCCAGATGTCTTTCAGATGAATTCCTTGTTCTCGTGAAGTGATGCTTCCTCCATCTCATGTTTATGAAGCTGATTTTTTTAAACCCAAGTGTGAGACATTTATCTTTATTAAATTTTATCTTAGTAGATTGGACCTAATCTTCTAGATCTGTCAAGATCCTTTTGGATCCAGAAGCAGGTCATCTGTGCCTTTATCCAAGTCACTGTTGCCAGTGCCAACAACACAAGACCAGCCACTGAGCCATCTCCACTGGAGGCCTCCTCCTAGATTGACATCTAACTAATGACTATTCTTTAGGTTAATCCAATTTTTTTGTCATCTAATCTATATCTCCTCACATTTTCCACAAGGCTAGCAAGAGAGACTAATTCAAGAATTCTCCAGCCAAGCTATGGTCAAGGCAGAATACAGAGTTACTGTCTTATCCCTCATCCTGAACAAAGTCTCTCTATTAATATAGCTTAAGACTGTATTATCAGCTTTGACTGCACTCATTTTGAAATTGCATCTTACTTAAACCCCTAAACCTTGTACTACAATAATTAGTCTAGCCTTGTCTTCTCCATCCTATGAACAGCAGAATTTGTACCATTACATTTTTGGACTCCTTTGGGATTTTACATTCACTCCTATTACATTTCCATACATCTAAGGATTTTAAGGGAATGCAAAATCCATGTGTATGTTGCACCATTAAAGAAAGGATTAATGAATGCCCATTAGTTTAAACATTAAGTATAAGAATTCATTGTATTTGGTGATTAGATTTTAGAGGGGGAGGAAGAATTGACAAAATATATATGACATGTGTATATATTTATAATATCTCCATTGATCTACGCCTGTTATTGTCCATAAAACCCAATTTCCTAACTGTGTTGGATGAGTTTACTTTCCCATGACATTTAGAATGTCTTCTTAAAATTAGTCCTAATCTCCACTATCATTAAAATCATCAATATTACCCTGACTTAATTTCTCTTACTACTTTCTTAACCAGTTCCCTCAAAGTTATAACCCATTTTGATCAATGAGGTAACTCTAATATGAAAAAGAAATTATCCTATTTCTTTTCTGCCCATGCCAGCTAAGAGGGAATCATGGTCCCTTTCCCCCACATCCATGGAACCATTCTACATGACTCTTGTCCACAATCAATTCTTCTGATCTCCTCACTAGTTTAATGCCACCTACTATAACATGCTTCCTCCAGGTTGGGTGGAATTATGAAGGGCAGAGACCCATATTGTCTTTCAGAGCCTGAAAAAGCATGATAAGTTGATAAATGGCATTTCTTTCTCTTTTTTTTTTGAGGAAAAGTCATTGTGATATTTAAAAATATAAGACTGTAAAATGTACATACTTGTCACTCAAACCACTTTATTTTAAAAATATGTTTATTCTTGAAATGATATATGATATAAAACACTTGGTTAACTTTGGGAAGGAATAACTTTTTTGTCACTTGATAATGCAACATCAACATGTTAACAAATGAATCTTGAGATAATAATCAATTCTCACCTGTCAGACTAGAAAATACAGTGGAACTTAGTATTTTATATTTCTAACATAGGCCAGTGTTTGTAGCTGAAAGGCCAGGGCCACAATTTACATAGAAAAATAAAGATATTAATTCATTTTTATAGCACATATATCATACACTTTACAACCACTAGATGACAGCAAAGCAATAAATTTTGAATTCACATTTCATGGCAATTTCCTCTTCTTTTTATTTTGCATAATAAGATATTGTGTTAGGGTCCCTATAATTAATAAGTACTTACCATAATCTGCTTTGCATATTTGGCAATAAATTTGGAAACAAAACCTCAAGGTAGCTTACTTCAGCAAAAAAACAAAACAAAACAAAACAAAAAAAAACATAGAAACCCCAGTTCTTATAAAAGAGCTTTCAAGTCTTTTGTTAGTTTCTTGCTTTATTGGGCAAAACCAAAAGATGTGCAGAAATTAATTGTGCCATTTAACAAGTAGTTTGAAATACTTATAACATCCCATAAAATACATTTTATTTAGGTTATCTAAAATTCATTTATGCTTTTTTTTTTTTTGAGAAGAGGTGGTCATTGCATTCATTCACTTCATTCTTTGAATAAGCATTCTTATAGCACCTACTGCTCCCAAGGCTCTATCCTCAGTGCTTTGGCGTAAGACAAAGTTAATTTATCATATTAAGCAATGAAAACATATGATTAATGAAAGCCAGTTTATAACAAAACTGCCAAGTTTGGGAATGATAAATTCCTCAGGTAGAATTAAGCTATAAATCCTATTAATTCCTGAAATAAAAATTGAATGAGATAGTCTATGCTGATTTAAGTGTGATAGATTGCTCCTATTTACCAAAGTGTTTATGCATTAAGAAATATGTAAATATTCATCAGATGAACAAATAATTTATTCAATTTTATTCTTATTTTCATGATAAAAAATATTTTAGAATTTACTTTATCAATACAATTAACAAGCTCTTCAGCTGTACAAGGACACAAGTCCTTATGCAGATAGAAGAAGAGAAACCCTTTCAATCTCATTCAGGTTTTCTAATGCCACTGATCAATTCCCAGAGAGAGAAATGTTTGGTCATTGCTCCAGCAATATTATTCAACTCTCATCCACAATGGCCATTAAAAGGCCTGTCTATATTCTGTGAATAGATTTTAGGTTTTAGGGATTTATGGGTATGAAGGAGTATGGCAGAATTAAAAGTAGGTTTCTGCTCCTTACCAAACTTCTACATAGTGCTCTATAGCCTTGTAAAGTCATGGATACAGGTACTTTTCCTATGCAGAAATAATTTATTCCCAGGCACAGAGATCTGTTGTGTCAGAGGCTTTGTGTCAAAGGATTTAGGTTCACTTTAGGATTTTTTCACTTCTTTTGACATATTTCTTGACTTAGGAAGCCTTCTAAAATCTATTCCTGGTATCCTCCACTATGTTGAAAATTCCTGTATTTTAGCATATGGTTCAAAATATTGCAGATGAAAGTTTCATTAAAAAAAAAAAGAAAACAAAGACAATAAAATAGAACTCATTGAATGAATTACAGTTAATCCCAGAAAGCCTCAAAAAAGGAGGTCCTCTTTACCCCTATATCCCTATCTTCCCCTCTTGTTCTCTACAAGTGAGTAGAGAGACTTCAATAAAAATAACAATAATAGCTAACATTTTTATAGTTTTAACATTTGCAAAGCACTTTATAAAGATTATCACATTTGAACCTCATGTCATCCTTTTGAGGTAGATGCTAGCATTGTTTTACATATGAGAAAACTGAATGTGAGAGAGATTAAGTGGTTTGCTCAGCATCAAATAGCTGCTAAGTGTCTAAAATGGACAGCTAGGTGGGTCCCCTCAGGTTCTCTATCTTATAGTGGCACTACATCTTCCTTATAGAGGGGCAAACCATTCAGTCCTTGACTTACCTACCATCATCCTCTCTGCCTCTCCTTTTTATCTCCTTTTTTCTTTCAGTATCCATCGGTTATGAACTACTTCCTCTGGCTGTCTTTTCTCTTTCCTCCACCCATATACTCTCCCAGATTGCTATCATTCTCTTAAATTAGCAGAAGGGGAAGGAGTAAGAAAGGAAGATTCTAGTATGTACTGCATTAAAAGTTTTCCTATCAATGCCAATTACACTCCCTTCTATCCCCCAATTCAATCATTATAGATAATACAATCTTTAAATTTAATCATCAATGGATTTACTAATTAACTTCTGAGAAAATCATTCCTTCTGTGCCTCCCAGGTAGAATTCACTATATTCATGAAATAATTTTTCTTAATTCTACTTCCTCATTATTCTAATTTCACTTGCAGTTGAGTGACCGGCTATTTTCTAAGTGCTAGAGCTATGTTCCCTTTCTTCCTTGAAGTTTTTCTGACTTTACAGCTCCCTCAAGTTTCCTCTTAAAATATAATTTTATGTGATTGAAGAAAAAGTGACTGGTATATAGAACATATCTATTCTATGTTCAGTGTACATGTTCTATTTTTATTTTCTAATGTGGTAGCAGGTTCACCAGTGGATTTAATCTAATCCTATTTAAAAAAAAAAAACTTTGGAAAATAGACTCTTAAACCTGGAAAAAATGCATAGCAAAGTAAACCCATGGTTACTAAGCTGTACTGATTTTAGTACTATCTAAGAACCATTGCTTTCCTTTGGTTAATGAATCAAAGGGGAAATCTGTTTGTCTCTGGAACTTCATCTGCACAGATTCAACCATGGATGTGCATCGACCTTATAAAATCATTCACACAAGCTATGATTGCTTTGATTTTGTGGGAGGACCATCTTGTTTCTTCTTGTTTATTTTTTAGTCGGTTAGCATAAGGACTATACTTCTCATCAGGAAGAGGAAAATTTAAAAAAAAAAACAAATCTTACAGCCTCTCTAGGTTGTCACCTTTGGTTTGGCAATTGCTGCTAATTAAAAAAAATCATTCAATGTTTTGGATAAGATTTTGAAAGTACCAGCAATTTAATCCGTGAAAAGGAAACATTAAAATGAACAGTGGGAGAGGCTTTTTGGTCGACTAGGTAAGATTTTATTTGAGAGAAGATAATAAGTATTTCTCAAATTGCAAGTAGAAAGTAAGCTTGGATGCACTGCAAGAGCCTGCAAAATAGCTTCAGGTGAGCCTCGGTTCAGGGTGCGTTTGTCATAGGTCACGATCTGGATATGACAGGAGCCCGATTTTGTTTAAATGTGTTGTCAATGACTTCTCTTTTCTTCAAATAAAAAAAAATCGCTCTATTTATTTCCTCTGCAGAACTTGGAATAAATTTTGATCACATTTGGCAAAAAACGCTGACAGTGTTAAATCCTATGAAACCAGCAGATGGCAGCATTATGAATGAAACTGATCTTACAGGCCCCATGCTTTTCTGCATAGCCCTGGGAGCAACCCTGCTTCTGGTAATGTATGGCTGCAATCAGAAGAGTTTAATACTGACTTAAGAGGGGGAAAAAAAAGCAAACTCTAGATTAGGAAGGAAGTATGCGTTTCTTATGGTGAGAAGTATGCACTTCACTTGAGTTTTCCTTTAGTGACAGCACGAGTTAATCAAAGCATAATATTCATGTAAAATTACTTTCATTGGTAGCTCATAGATAAGGCATTAATTTAAATGGCTTTGTAACAGTACAAAGTGTCAAAACTACATTAAAGGGAATTATAATCAATGCATTCTAGTTCATTTCCTTATTACGAAAATGTAATGCCTTATATTTAGATTAAAATATAGGGCTTGAATGAAAGATTTATTTTGCACATGATCTGTGTATGAGAAACTCTTTTTCTGGTTACTTTAATTCTTCATTCACAGGGAATTCTTTTCTGGTTATTTTAGTTCTTCACTTTTTAAAGTGATAACTTGACTAGAATTTCATTTTCCATGGTATGCTGGTGATAGTGAGATTCTCTGTTGTATCCTTGTGTCTATTAGTTGTTGTATTGAGACTCATCAAATGGAAAATGAAAAAAAGAAATAATCTATAAATGTTTGTATTCATTTATAAGACTGGGATTAAGAGTTTCTTCTTTTGAAAAATGTATCAGGTAAAAAAGAGAAAGGAAATGAATCCTGGAAAAATGAGGTGAGAAAAATTCAGTAAATAAGTTCAGATAGACAGGGGGATAATAAGCCTAACTTTGTGATTTAATATCCTTGATCAAACTCCATGGTGATATGTAAAGATTTAAATACTATTTCAAAGAGAATATTCTTTACAATTAAATTCATTTGGAAAAAAATAAAAGAGGATCTATGGGGTTTTGAGTTTATTCAAGCTTAGAATCAGTCAACATTGTGATGACAGCCAAGACACAATACAACAGCAGGCTGCTCTAAGTGAGTTATGGTATGATTAAGGATGTGGGAGCACCGACATACTTTACTGTGATCAGATCAAGCCTGTAGTAGTGTATTTTGTTCTGATTAACAAATTTTAGAAAGGACATTGATGAACTGGAAAGTGTCAAAGAGGAGGAAAAGAAGAATAATGAGAGGCCTCAAGTTCATGGTATACATTGATTGATTGAAGGAACTAGAGATGTTTCACCTGAAGAAGACTTGGGTTTCTTCTTCCTCCCAGAGGGCAGAAACCAGATCAATGAGGGGAAATTTCAAAGAAACAAAGTTTGGCTTGAGATAAAGACAAGTTTCATAGTAATGAGAGCTGTCCAAGAGTATGGACTGCCTCTGGTGGTGGGACATATGTATTCTTTTTTAGGTATTGATTGAATTAGATGGCCTAAGAGATCCCTCACAACTCTAAGATTCAATGCTCTAGTCCCCTAATCTTCATATGAGCAATCAGAGGTAAAGTAACTTACTTGCTGAAGGCTGAATTGCTAGCAAGTTTCAGTAACAAGAAGTTAGGTGTCCTTCCTCCCTGGCTTGTAGTCTTTCACTACACTTGGCTCAGACTTGAAGATATAAAAATTCTGAATCTGAAACAGACAGTTCCATTAATGTAGAAAGAGAAACAAAGGGCATTCAAACTGGTAAAAGATATTTAGAAACCAAGAAAAAATCCTCATTGAGAATTAGCAAATTTCTTCCCTTTCAAATAAAAACTGAAATTCCTAACTGAAACATCTACTTTGCAAATACTTATCTAACTAAAGATATTTTAAAAATGTTCATTTCATAAGATTAGTCAGCCTAGTGTTATGTATCAATTGCCTAGTAATTTGTTTTAGTAAAAACCACATCATATCCATTTGAACTAATAGCATTTAGTGATACCATCTTATTTTTTCCTCTCTACAGAAGCAAATGTAAATTCCCTGTAAATCAAACACTATATCAAGTGGAGTTTTAATTTAGCTGCTGACCTCTCTTCTTCTGTCTTTGTCACAGTAATTTGATAATCTTAGATTAAGCTGCTAAGGAAGGCTATGTCATTTAATCAAATAGTCAGAAACAATCAATTTAATATGTTAACTTATCTGTTTTTCCCAAGTCATTTGTCATATTGCAATTGTTGGTTTTTCTGTTAAAAATATAATCTTCCTCTTTCAAGGGCAGAATTAATTCCATTAAAATATATTTTGAATTTATAATGGTACATTCTGTACCATCAAAAGTTCTTTGCTTTTAAATAAGGAGATAGAATGGTGCAGTAGTGAAAATATTAGTAAATTAATTAATAAGAGTCAGGAGACTGGGTTCTAACTGTCGGTTTTAGTTTCGCCATCTGCAAAATAGAATCAGACTAAGTGTTCTAAAGTTTCTTTCAATTCAATTTTTTCAATTTATTTCAATTCAAATAGTCTATGTAATATTGCTTGATCAAGTATATTCTTCTGCATCTTTTCATACAGAGTATTAAATTTGATAATCTTAACTTTGATTCAGATTAACATTGGATTGTTATTTCTATACTTTGACAGATCTACAATCTCCAACCATTTTTGCATGTTTTCTCAATCTGTATGACCAGAGCATGTATGCTCACGTTAGTCCATAAACTATCCTCAGAGTCTACAAAACACTTTATCCTCCCCTGTTAATATAGGGTAGACACCAATGGAGAACACAGACTGTCCATCCCTCTAGCTACATAATGCTATCACTTTTTTTCTCTGATCATATATATCACTTTGCCTTCAAGTCATCCACTAAGCTACTTTTCTTGTACAATTCTTTACTGTAAAATTATTATAGCCTACTCATGTCTACTATGTACCTCTTTAAAACACCTAACATTAATTCTTTAGAGACTGTTGTATCCCACCATTTGCAATCATTGAAGCTTCACCAGAAGAATGTTGGTGTTGAAAAGATGTGTTGAAAGCAATTATGAGGGCCATGAAGAATTTTACTGTGGATCTTGAAAAGTGTACTTTGTTTCTGCCCCATAACACTAATGTATGTTCAAAGTGCAAGCTGGATAAAAAATGAAAGATCTGGAAGAATTTCTGCCATCCAGGTTATCAGGGAGAATGAAATGTCCTTGTGAGAATGAAGGAGATCATTCATAGAGAAATAAAGAAGATTATATAAAAAAGCTGAGGGCAATTCTCACCTGTATCAGGCAAGCAGGGGGTCAGAGAATATAACACTGAATAGGGAGGGAAGAAGAACCCATGACTATTTGGAGTTATATAATAAGAATGAAACCCTTCCTGAAAAGGAGGCTGGACCATCCCTGGAGAAAGAATTTATTGTGCTCTAACAAATAATGATGTGAATCTTCAGATGGTTTTAGTTAAAAGGTTAAGTAATAATATTCAGAGAAAGAAGAGTAGTGAGTTGATGCTATGGTAGCTATTTGATGACCTGGGATAAGCCACAAAGAAATCTTCTTTTTTTTTTTTTATTCTTGTTACATGTATCTGGCATGGGATGGTGATGGTAGTGGCGCACCTTCCAAAAATCATCAAAACTTATGACAACTTTTCTTTCTAGAAATTAATTGTGGGGATAGATGACAACCACAAGAAAGAAACTAACAAAGTTTGTTTAAAAGTATGAATTTCTGGGGGAAAAAAAACAACAAAAACCATGAAGTTGTCAGGGGTAGAGATAGTGTTTTCATTGCTATTGGTGGTTAAAATTAAGGGATTCTGAATAAAATGGCAGATTGAAAAAAAGATATCTTAGTGTGGGATTTGAATTTCTAGACAGTGGCTGAAAATATAGAAATGATGGGCATCTTGGTTTGCATCTAACAAGGCCCAGAAAATATATTTGCCAGAATCTTATGAGTCAAATCAAGTGAACTTTAAATTAAAAAGGAAGGGAAATATGAAACTCCATATAGATTGGGCAAACCCATATACATTTACATTGAACCTACCACTCTGTATAGATGTGTATGAATATATACATATATGTATATACACATACATAGATATAGATAAAAATAGATAGATACACACATCTATATCTATGTATGAGAAATCTGGTAATTCACAGAAGACAATATCCAAGAAAGGATCCAGTAATAAAGCTCTTGGTATCAGATACCTGTAAGTGTGAACTAGACATTCTAATGTAAAGAGGCAAATTTGACCTCATAGGTATTACAGAAAGTGGTGGTACATAGCTCATGACTGGAATTTAGTTCTGTATAAATGCCTTATTCGAAAGGAACAGATCAGATGAAATTCAAAAGATTGTAGGGTAGCATTAACGTTAATAACATGTAGCCATATGAGGAAGTCCAGGAAAATATGGGGCAAAGCATAGTGGAGATCACTTCAGTGAGGATCCAGGGAAATAAAAATAAAAGTGATATTGTTGGAGGGCTCTACTACAGACCACATGAAGAAGAAGATTTGGATGAGAAGTTTGGGAACATCACAAACTTAGAACAGAGGCATGACATTGTAGTGACAAGTACTTCAATAATCTGGACATCCTGCTGGTGCTCTTTCTCTATTAAAGGCAAAATAGCCAATAAATTTGTGATTTGCATTTATGATTAACCCACATTTTAAAAGGTAGTAATAAAAAAAGGAAGAACTGACAGTTGAACCTGACTCTGCTAGAAAGGAACAACTTATTTTGGAATTATGAATGGCAAAAATTTTGGGGGGAGGGTAACAATCCATTAAAGTTTGTGATAGAGGGGAAAGTCGTGTGTTGTCTAGTGTCATGTACACCCCAGATTTTGGCAGAGCTGATTTTAGAAGATTCAGAAAAGAAATCAATAGCATTTAATAGATTAATATTTTGAAAAAGAAGTCTCTCCAAAATATATAGGAAGATAATAAGAATGAAATTCTGAAGACATAATCAGATATATTCTGATGAAGAGAACAATAATGGGAGTTGCCTGAAGATATGGATGTGAATACACAAGGAACACACTGACAAACATATTTAAAACAGACACATACAGAAAATGGGAGGATGGAATGAATACAGAAGATTAACATAGCTCTGTAAAGGCTGGTATAGAGTGTTAAAGCCTAGAACGAGTTAAGGGTGTCAATGAATACAAATAATCAAAAAATTGTTTGAGGCATGTTTGTTTCTCTTGCTGTATTAGTATCAAGTAGTTTATCAAAGAAGGGTTTTGTTCATTGCTTGGGGTGGATGGAATATTGGTAATGGTGTGAGGGTGGTAGGGAAGATGGGCTCCTTTTCCACAATGATTGCTCCTCTCTTTCAGTGATAGCTGTGGGTGCTGGGCTAGATGAAGGTCTGTTTTTTTGGGAGGCACTGCTATTCCCAAGGCTTTTGGATTCAAGGTCTTGGGCTGTCCCCATCAGGATCTGAAGGGAGATGCTGGTCAAGGTGGTGGCAGTGGTGGTTTGACTTGCCTTGCACTTGCCCCGTCTTTACCTCAAGGTGCCTTGCTGCTTCGGCTAGACTGGCTTGCCTATCCTGTGTGTGACAGTTGTTTGGCAACTGGAGAGGATGGCTGGCCCCTTCTCCACAGGAGTAGTTTCTCCAGATGATGGCTGTGGGGGCTGGGCTAGAATTGGGACTGTTGCCACTTTCAGGGTTCTATAGTTGGTGAGCAGTCAGAAGTGAAATGACAATTATGCAGCATCTAGCTACCTACTCTCAATAAATTCCCACCAGCAGGCTTAGATTAATTATATCCTAGAAAGCTAAACGAACTACCAAAAATGATGGCTGAGCTGCTATTAGTGCTTTATGAAAGATCTTAGAAATGGGAAAGATATTATAGGATTAGAAAAGTACAAATGTTTTCCCTATTTTTTTTAAAGGGAAGAGGACAAAGATTGTTAAGTATTGTCCAGTAAACTTGACTTTTATTCATGGAAATATTCTATAACACATTATTAAGGGGGTAGTAGGTGAGTGCTTAAAAAAGGGAAGCAGTGACCACTAAAAGCTTTCATGGTTTCATCAAGAACAGGTCATGACAGACTAACTTTGTTTATTTTATAACAGGGTTAATAGACTTTTACATCAAGGGAATGCTATACACATACTATACTTAAATTTCAGCAAAGCATTTGACAAAGCTTCCCATGGTGATAAAAATGGGTAAATATGGGCTAGATGATTTGGCGCCAATTTCGTTACTTCCTCTGGTGGGCCCCAGAGGGCAAAACAGAGTCTCTGTCAAGTTGGAGGGAGGTTTCTAGTATTTGCTCTAGGAATATATCTGTGGAGCTTTCCTGTTTAACCTTTTAAACAATGACTTGGATAAAAACACAAATGGCGTAATTTTTAGATGGCAGAAGACAAAACTTGGAAGAATAACTAATACATTGGCTGACAGAAGCTGGATCTAAAAATATCATGACAGGAAAGAATAATGAGATGAAGTAAGATGAAATTTAAAGGGGATAAATCTAAGTTTCTATTCTTGGGATAATGCTATTTGGGGCTATTAAGACAATCATAATGTCCAGGATGATGGTGATAAGAGTTCTGATATATTCTGTACTTCCTGCACCATATTTTAGCAAAGGCACAGATTAGTTGGTATGTGTCCAAAAGAGGGTAACCAGGATGGTGAAGGGACTAGAGATCAGATGATACTAGGAATAGCTGAAGGAACTGGAGATGTTGAGCCTGAAAAAGACTCATGAGGGATATGATTATTGTCTTCAAGTATTTGAAAAGCTATCATGTGAAAGAGGGATTAAGACTCTACTTGGCACCAGAAAGCAGACCTAGTAGCAGTGTTTAGAAATTGCAATGAGATACATTTAGACTTGATTTAAGAGAAAATATCATAACAACAAGAGCTGACCAGAAGTGGAATAGATTGTTTCAGGAGATACAGTGTGTTCCACTCCCCTGGAGGCCTTCAAGCAACGATTAGATGACCACTGGTTGGCCATATTATAGAAAGTTAGCTACAGGTTGAACTGCATGGTTTCTGAGGTTCTTCCCAGCTCTTAGGTTCTATAAAAACAGAAACCAGTTAATTTGGTCACTTTTGTATCATAAACACTGGTAGATGATTTCCGATCACATATGAAGAAAGGAAGCCCTCACAAAACCTCTACTTCATTGAAGTATTCTGCAATGCTCTAGTAACTCCACAATATTTTGTACTTCAGCAAACCCCTCCCAACAACAGTCCCAAAAGGCTAAGTAGAGAAATGTGCAATATTTTGTACTTCAGCAAACCCCTCCCAATAACAGTCCCAAAAGGCTAAGTAGAGAAATGTGCAATATTTTGTAAATAATGCTTTTTCCAGTAGCTGAATTCCCTAGATTCCCCAAGGACAGTCCTGTAAGAATGAGAGCCAGAAGTAAGCCAGCTTTAAAATATGCTCCCCCCTTCATTGCCATTTCCTCTTGGTGGATTGTGTTTGCTTTTGTGATTAAGTTGTGATATTTCCATTTCTTTCAGGCGGGAAAAGTTCAGTTTGGCTACGTGTATGGCATGAGTGCAATTGGGTGCCTTGGGATTCATGCTTTATTGAACTTGATGAGCCCTTCAGGAGTGTCATATGGATGTGTGGCAAGCGTGCTGGGTTACTGTCTGCTCCCTATGGTCATGCTGTCCAGCTGTGCCATATTCGTCTCACTGCAGTAAGTACCTGTGTGTGCTAATTGACCCCACAAGCACACTCTCAGCTAAGACAATGGCATACCAGAGCAGATGTTTCCTCTTTCTGAACATTTTAGTTGTGGGACTGGTAGTACTATGGTTATTAAGAAGGTTCAAAAAGAGGGAAAAGTAGGTCAGTGTTGGTCTCAGGTACATTATCCAACTCTGAAACATTTTTTAAAAAAATTCCAGTTTTTCTTTAAACCTGGCATCTTTTAAGCTGTCATCCTGTAAGCTACTGGTTCTTAATGTGAACTGGTGCCTTGGGTAGTATGATGACTACAAACAAAACATTCACTTGTTTGATTTTTTAAAAATAAGAGCTCTGTGAACATTGACAAATTGTCTGGGCTCCCAGGCAATTTTACTACCCAAGGGAAGATCAACTCTGATCTATCTCAGCACGACTTCTTACAGTAAAGACTTCCCAGTAACACTGAAGGGGACATTGTGACTTTGTGATAAATACACTGTGGGATATATATGCTTTGTCAACTATAAAGAATGATATAAGTGGAAGGTGCTATTATTAGTACAGAGGCAGATTTTGGCTTGATATAAGGAGAAATTCTTACTCCAATATCTCATCATGAGTTGAGGTGACCATAGGTTGTGAGAGATAATGAGGCATAGCGTGTCGTATATTAGATTCAGAGTCAGGAAAACTTAATTCCAATATTGCATCAGATATTTACTACTATGATCCTTGGCAAGACACTTAAACTCTGAGCCTCCATTTCTAAATCTGTAAAAATGAGACTATCGATAATACCTCCAATATCAGGGTCATCATAAGGCTCTAATAATAAATTTTTCAGCCATAGCAACTCTCTAAGACTGTCATAGAGGGCTTGTAAGCTTTAGTGATTGAGGGAGTAGCCATATTAGGAAAAAAATGTAAATCTTTGAAGTTTTGAAGCTCATTGCTATATTTACTAGAAGCCAAAGTCCAAAGCCATGCAGGAGGAAAGTCATCCTAGAAGCATGTCTTTCACCTGTGGGCAGGGCCACTGTTGGCATTGCTTTCCATTGATCATCAAATGGGGTCTCAGAGTAACTTGGAAAAGGGCAAAAGAAAGAACAAAAGTCTGGGAAACTCATCATTTATTTTTACCTTTAAAAGCCTTCCCACATATCACTGATGACATTGTTTTAAGTAAGATTAGATTAGTTGGGGACAATCCTGATTAATTTGTTGTGAAATGAACATTCAAAAATGGGAGCCCAGGGTCACTTTTTTTATACAACCTAAAGAACTAGTGTGTGTGTGTGTATGTGTGTGTGTGTGTGTGTGTGTGTGTGTGTTGTTCCTCAGGTATCAGTATCAAGGGCTTTATTCCTGCCTGAACGCACCGCAGTGAAACAAGAGGTGGTTGGATGGTTGGATGCCCTATGGTTGGATGATCCTATGATATGGAATGCATTTACATGAATTCAAGCATGCTAATGAAAGAGGCTGTACTATTATATATTATGCCCTTTAAGAAGTTGGTTCAGTTTTTTTCTTGTTTAGAAAAGAGTTTAACAGTAACAGAATGTTAGAGTGAGAAGAAACTTTAAAAATCTAGTCTAAGAGTTCTTAACCTTTTTGTGTCATGGACTCCTTTGGCAGTCTAGTGATTTGCAATACTACTGTGGTTTGTTGTCTACATTCATAATCGAAGGAAATGCTAAATTTCAGGTAGGGGTTAGTAAGAAGAAAGATGTAATTTTTTTTTCATGTCAGTTCATGAACTCTCTGAACTCTATCCATAGACCCCAAGCTAAGATCCCTGTTTGGAACCCTGATATAGTCCAAATTGCTCATTTTTCAGATGAAGAAACTGAGGACTAGAGGGGTGAAGTAATTGACCATAACCTCTTAATAGGTAGACCTTAGGGACATCTTAGCAAAACTGTCATTGGTTTATTTTTATTTTTAAAAGTTTTATTTGCTGGGGGTTTTTGTTTGTTTTAAAGCCAAAGACATTTCTCCCCAACTTCCACCTCTCAACACTGAATCTTCCCTTGTAACAAGGAAAAACATTTAAGCAAAACCTGACAAAGGGACTAAGGCTGATAGATAAGTTATACTAAATTTCTCTCTCTGTAGTCTCCCTTCTTTCTACTGAGAAGAATGTTTTAGGATCTGTTCTCAGGGACTAAAAGTAGGCATTATAATTAATCAACATTCAACTTCCTTTTAGTGTTGTTTTCATTTGCATTATTGTTGTTATTGTATATAATAATAAAACTCTTTTTTAAAGGGGATTTGTTCTAATATTTGATTATCATTTTAAGTGAAGTTGAGATTTAAGCCAAGACTATCAAATGGCTTAGATAAGTTGTAAAATGTAGTAGATTTTCAAAGTTTCTGAGTTTAGGAGAACAATCTTGCCTTTTGTAAGTTATTATAATTTAGTGTTTTGCTCATTAAGTTTTAGTGGTTAAATCGTGAATGACTATAATGAAACAACAAACAAATCTAGTCTTTAACACCATTAAACTAGAAATACTTTCAAGTGCCCTGATTATATAACTGCACTAAATAATCAGGTATCATTTCATAATTTCATTTAGGAAATCAGTAAAATAAATTGCTATAAAAATTATTCCCAATTGATGTTGATTGAACCAACATGTAATATTTATTGCAGTACTTTAAAATGTTCTTAATGGGCACAGGGTCTGAGAACATAGTTCTCTGAGCAGATAACAGATTTCTCAGAATGCTTATGCTAGCATAGAAATAGAGGGTGGCTCTGCTGCTCCCACATACTAAATAACATTCCAAGCCATCTCTTCATATCCTCAGAAAACCAAGAGAAACAAAAGAGATTAGTGAATGAATGACAGAAACAATGATTCAATCAACATGCATTTATTAATTGCTAAGCTCTATGCTAGACACTGGGGACACACCTTGCACTCAAGGAGCTTATGTTCTACCAGCAAGGCAGACATTTGAACTCCCCCTCCATCCTCTGTCTCTCAACACCACACTGCTTATTGATTGTGTGACCTTGGGGCAATTCACCTTATCATTTTGGGGTTTCAAATTGTCTCATCTGTAAAATATTTTAATATTTTCTTTAAAGGCTCATGTTTTTATTGGTGTGGATACTCCTTTCCCTCATGGACATCAAAACCACTCCAGTGCTTAGTAGGTGATTTGAAGAGTTACCATGGTTGAAAAATTAAAAACCCTATACCCAGTCTAACTTTTTAATCTTAGTTTTTTTTCAAACTTAGTTAGGCTGGTCCTTGGATAGGAGGCATACAGTCCTTATGATCAGGTTTTTTACTTAAGGCCTTTTCATCTTGGTAGATCTGCAAAAGTTGCTAACTTGCTGGCATACCCTTTAAGAACCCAGGGTCACTTTTACCCTGTAATGGAATACGAATATAGCAGGACATCTATAAAATAAGGATAATAAATCAATTCAGTTCAACTCAGCAAGCTTGTGTTAAATGTTTTCTATGGTCAAGAGACATAGTGTGTAGGAGTGCATAGAGAGCTGGTCCCAGATTCAGGTAGACTTGGATACAAATTCTACCTCTGTCATATACTGGTTGTGTCATCCTGGGCAAGTCACCTCAGCTCTCAGTGACTCAGGCAGCTTTCCAAAGATATAAAATTTCAGGACACATTCTTGTATGAATTGGTAAAGGAATTTTCTTCACCAGAAATTCTCTACTATACCAATGAAATTAAAGGTCAGAAATGTTCCTTCCCCCAAATGTACACGGCACTGTATTAAACCATAGGCATATGAGACAAAACAAAAACAGTCACAGTCCTCAAGAACTAACAATCTAGTATAATAACAGCCTGAATCCTGGACTATCTGATATCTTCAAGGCTCTTCCAATGATAAAGATTTATGATTCTGAACAATATACTTTTTCAGGCTAAAAAGGAAACCCCCCTCCTCCACTTCATTCCTAAATTCTCTAGAGTAACCAAAATTCAGGGCCTCGTTGCTACCAGAATACTGCCTTGCTGTCACCACATATGGTCGCCGCTCTGTACAATATTTGACCAAGTCTTTCATAGAATCCTAGACTATTAGAGCCACCAGGTATTTGGATGTCATATGGTTTCTCCTCCTCCTTTTACAGATGAGGAAATTGATGCTCTAAGAGGTAAAATGACCAATTTAAGGTCATTAATGGTAGGACTGCTCTGGTAATTGATAAGTACAAAATTAGGTAACTAATGACAGAGTTGGGGCTTAATTCAGCAGAATCCTTGGAGCTACTTTCTTTTATTGCAGCCATCCCCCTCCCCCAAACTTTACACTCATATTTGCATATACTAGCAATACACCAATAAAATAGTTAAAAATTGAGCCATTCTCTCCATGTTCAAGGTAGGGAAATATTAAGCCCCAACTTTAGAGGGAGGGCATTGGGATTGTAAAGAGAGAATTACGGCCAATATCTGAACTATATCTGGTTACACAGCTGCTTCCATAGATGTCATAATAAGGTACTTCAAGAGATGAGACATGGAGACTTGAAAGCAGCAGGATGACAGTGGCTTCAGAAGGATTCTCCTATTTCCAGGGGATTTTTTATTTTTTACCAAAGTCTAAGGCTTATAGCTGGATTTAGTAATATTCTTGGCTCTGAATTTGTGACTTCCTTTCATCTTAATGTGTATTAATCATAATTTCCTTACTTCTAGGGGGACCATTGGGACCATAGCAGCACTAATCATCATTGGATGGTGTAGTCTATCTGCATCCAAAATCTTCAGTTCAGCACTGACTATGGAAGGACAGCAACTTCTAGTTGCCTACCCTTGTGCCTTATTTTATGGACTTTTTGCTCTCTTGACTGTTTTCTAATGTATTCAGAATAGTCTTATTGTGTGTTCTTTGTTTGTATGTCTAGTTTTTTAGAAAGGGATTAACCTACTTTAATGAAATGAATTCTCCTTTACCTCTGAATAGATAATAGTAAATTGAGAAACAGAATGACATTTAAAGATGGTATAGAGTAGAAGCTTCTTTGGCTTGAAAAATAGTTTTGCTTCTCTGTTCTTTGTGAAATAAGATCTAAAAATAAAATGATTGTAAAATAAAATAACCCCTTTAAAGAGTTTTTTCCCCCATAACTATTCTTCAGCAAGGAATATAATTGGGGTGCAGTTAAACCTTGCTTGACTAACTAGAAATATTCATAAAGAGTTGTGTATTAAGTAAAATCATATTTACTAAGGGTATTTGCTTCTTACAAATGTCCTGTGGAAAATTAATTGAGAAACTCAAGAAACTCTCAGCAGTATATGGTCATTCTTTAATACAATGTGAACTTTTTTAAAAAGATGAGATACTTTATTGTTTTCTTTATACTGGTAGGTATAAAGTACAGGTATTATAGATGGTTATAAAAATAGTATAGAAAACTACCTTGGCCTTTCCTTTGAGCATATTAAGTGAACTCCTTAATTTGAAGGAAAAATAAGTTTCTATGAGTTTTTTTAGTTGACAATCAGCATTGTCCTTTTCATTAGGCTCACATTAGAACCCAGACTATGCCCAGGAATGTGGCTGCCAGGATAAGAGGATGGCTATTGGTATACTTATCAATCATCATATCAACAAGGCTTTATTAAATATCTATTATGTGCCAGGCTGACTAGGCACTTTAGACTTTTCCTTGTGAATTTTATATTCTAGAGGGGGAAGCAACATATAAATCAATAGAAAATAAGTACACAGAAAATAAATTCAAGGTAATTTTTTTTGGGAAAGCATTAATAGCTAAAGGGTTAGGGGATCAGAAAAGGACTCATATGGAAGGGAGCATTTGATCTGAACTTAGAAAAAAATGAAGGATTCTAAGAAGTAGAGACAAGGAGGGGAGTGACACATTCATTCCTAACCAAAACATTTTAAAGTCTCTGCTGAATGTGTTCTCACATTTCCATAGGTTCCTCTTTCAGGTACTGTATAAGGAAGAGTCAAAGAAAGCTTTTCATTATAGCAGCATTAAACCTGTGCCTGGAGGATTGGATAGGAAGAGACATCAAGTACAACCTACGATTTTCTCCAGTATAGGTAGAAAAGGAGAATTAGAACATCTCTATGTATTGAGGTGCTCACTCATAATTCCTATGTGTACTTTCCTTGTGCCTGGAGGAGAATTGAGTTGCTTGATTTTTGGGGGGGGGGCTAGGCAATGGGGTTAAGTGACTTGCCCAGGTTCACACAGCTGGTGTTATGTGTCTGAGGCCAGATTTGAACTCAGGTCCTCCTGAATCCAGGACCAGTGCTCTATCCACTGCACCACCTAGCTGCCCTGACTTGCTTGATTCTGAAGAAGCTTTTTGAAGGATCTATGGAAAAACATGGACAAGAATTGGAAAGAATTAGAAAGTAGGGCTGGGTTGCAATCTGTATTGAGAGAGGAAATACCCATATTGATGAGACTGCAAATTCACTGAAATGCCAAACCATAATTAATTAGAGTCTTTAGTTGTTAGTCTTTCCATATGAAAAGGGCATTGAATTAATTAATAATTCAAAGAAAAAATCCTTCAACATAAAATGTTACACTAAAAAATATAAATTAATTTTTAATTTTTTCTTCTATTTCTTCTTTCCTCTTTGGTGGCTCAATCCCTGGGAGGCCATCATCTTGAGGCTCAGTAAATTGATTGTACTATTTCTCCTGTTGATTGCTTTAAGTCCAAGAATTTTTTTAGGGGGCAGAAGGTAGGGGAAGAAGTGGGTAGAGAGAAGCAGATACAATAGGTTCTTTAAAAGGAGCATTTTGAAAAGTCTTTTTGAGAAATTTGTTCAGAGTTTGAAAGTATTTTAAAGTACCCACATTATCAACAAAAATAAGATAATTTTTGAAACTTAGAAAACTTTATTGAAGTCATTAAGGAAGTGCCTATACAAAAGTGAGCTTTTAAAAAAGCTCATTCAAAGATAAGTAGGAGATTTTTACTATGAATGTGTTTTTCTGAATTAAAAAAAAAGCTCAGATTATATCTTCAGGAATTCAAAAAATGCACTTATCTCAACTTTGGCATTTTTATTTTTTAAATAACTTTTTAGTGATATATTTTGTTTTTGTGTTACCTTGATTTCTCTCTTATCCCCTCTCTTTCCTCCCAGAAAACCATCCCTTATAACAAAAAAAAAATTTAAAAAGAAAATAGAAGAGGAAAAAAATCAGCAAAGCCTATAAATATATATTTAAAAAATCTGGAAATGTACACAGTGACTCCACTTCTGCAAATAAATGGGGAGAAGTGTCTTATATCTCTTCTTTGAAAATTTGCTTGGTCTTTGTAATTTCAAAACATTGATTTTTTTTGTGGTTGTTCTTAACATTTACATGTTGTCATCATTGTATATAGTGTTTTTCTGGCTTTCCTCATTTCACTTTGCATGTATTCATTAAGTCTTTCCATGCTTCTCTGTATTCCTCCTATTCATTTTTCTTACAGTGCAGTGATATTCCATTACACTCACATACCACAATTTGGTTAACCGTTCCCCAACTGATGAAAACCCACTTTGCTTCCACTTCTTTTCTGCAACAGAAGTGCTATTATTGATATTTTGGTGTATATTGAGCCTTACATTTTGTTAATGACCTCCTTGGGGAATATGCCTAGCAGGGGAATCCCTGGGTCAAAGGGCATAGATATCTTAGCTACTGTATTTGTCCAATTCCAAATTGCTTTCCAGAATTGTACTAATTCACAGGTCCATCGATTCATTACAGTGTAGTATATCTAGAACCCCTCCAGAATAATGTTTTTTCCCATCTTTTGTCATCTTTGCCAACTAACTATATATGAGGTGAGACCTCAGAGATCTTTTGATTTGTTCTTCTATCATTATTACTGATTTAGGCATTCTTGTATACGTTTGTTAAGTGCGGTTCTTCTTTTGAGAACTGTTAGTTTATATTTATTGATTATCTATTGAAGAATGGCTTTTGATTGAAGATTTCTTTTAGTTGTCTATATGTCTGGGGATCCTAAGCCTTTATTGGAGATATTTAATATAAAGTTTTTTCCCCCAGTCAACCATTTTCTTTCTAATCCTTGATGCATTGATTTTCTTTGTGTAAAAGCTTTTTGGTTTTATATAATCAAAATTATCTATTATATCTTTTGGAATTGTCTCTATTCATTTTTTAGGAATTTTTTCCTTTCTATTGCTGTGAAAAGTATTTGATATGCTTCTATTCTAATTTATTATTGTGTGATCTTTAATATTCAAGTCATGTTTATATTCTGTATTTATTGTGGGATATGGGGAAGTTGGTCTAAACTTAATTTTTGCTAGATTGCTTCCCACTTCTCCCAGCAGTTCTTATTAGATAGGGAGTATAGATAATTTATGTCTTTGAGTTTATTGAACATTGAGTTATTGAGTTCACTTATTTCTCATTCTCACTTGTCTAGTTTGTTCCAGTAATCAACCTTCTATTTTTTTTTTAACCATTACCAAATGGTTTTGAGGATTGTTACTTTATAATATTGTTTGAGTTCCAGAAATACTGTTCTTCATTCCTGCATTTCTATTGTCATTATTCCTCTTGATATTCTGTTTTCTTTTCTCCAAATGGATTTTGTTATTTTTTCATCTAACCCTATAAGCTAGTTTGCCAGCTCAATTGTTTTAGAACTGAATGTGTAATTGATTTTGGTAATATTGTCATTTTTATTATATTGGCACAGTCCCACCATGAGCACTGACCCACTGGTATAACATTAACTAGATGTGAAATTGATTGAATTACAACTTCCCTGAGCCCAAGTTTCCTCATATATAAAGTTAGACGGTTGGATCAGATAATCTTGCAAGGTCCCTTCTAGCTCTAAAATGATACTAAATTTTGTCTGCATAATAAATTAGATGCATATTTTACTATTATAGATACATCTTGGTCCTCTGCAAAATGATCTCTTTTCCAGTGGGGATAAATGAGCCATTAGATATAAACATTATGTATCCTGATTACCAGGTCCCAGTGTGGGCCAGCAGACAACTCTTGTTTCTTGTTAATCTTGGCGTTTGGAGAGTCTCCTTGTCTAGTGCAGCTCCAGGAAAATATGGAACACAGCTCCATCATCATTCAACTTCTATTGTCCATGCATGCAGTTTCTAGGTTCTGAAGTAATAAACACATGATCCTAGATCCCACATAAATATCCAGAGGACACACCATACTCTTTAGAAGGAAAACTAAAGGACAAAATCCAGAAGCTCTAAATATGTAGAGTACTGGCTACATGGTTTCTCTCAGCCCTCACCTGGTCTCTTGACTGTCTCACCACACACATTTTACTTATCTCTCAGGGGGTGTGTGTGTGTGTGTGTGTGTGTGTGGTGTGTGCACGTGCACATGCTTGCCAGGCTGTTTAAAGATGCACCAGCTTTGTTTCCTGACTCTTAATCACATAAACATCCTGGCTAACTGCAGGCCTGCATGAAATCACTGACATTCCCCAGCTGTTCCCTGCAGGCCCAGGAGGTTTCTGTCCTGGGAGTCCAGTACTTGCCATCCCATCTGTGCTCTCTGAAGCTTCTAAGCCATGCACTATGCTACTTTTTGATATAGAGAGCTTCCTTATGTCTGTATTTGATTTCTACTCAGATTTACTTTTCCTCTTGACAAATGCCTGACAAAACTAATCAGTTTGATCTCTAGGATGAAAGAGATGGTGATAGTATTGAAAAAGAAAACAATTTTAAAGCCTGACTTTTCTAACATTTAAAGAAGGGCACAGGATTGACCTTTGGTTATATTAAGTTCAACAGTGTCAAGGTTAGATAGCACATGGATGGAAGCTCTATAGAGTCCAGGGCTGTCCAAA